TTGAATACTTTTAGATTTCATAGTTTTTATTTTCTAAATAAGCAAGCACTTGGTTTTGAAGGGTAAGATTTGCAGCTACCAATAGGGCCACCAGAGGGGAAACTGGTTTGGATAAAATTAAATAGTTCTTTCCAAAGAGAAATTTTATTTTACACTAGTTAATAATTATTTTATGCTGCTTAGGGACATGGCTTAGTGGTGAACTTGGCACTGGCTGGGTTAATGGTTGGATTTGATGATCTTAAAGGTCTTTTCCAACCGAAACTATTCTGTGATTCTATGAATGCAAACATATATAATAAAATTTTTCTTTAGATTAATAGATTGTGGTCATTAGGGATCATTGTGTCACATATTCTATTCTTTTATAAACCATGGATCTTAGATGTACTCCAGTATTTGCTGTCTTGAGCAGAAAACCTTTTGTCTGAAACATTTTTTTCCTGGAGGACCTTCAACATATTTTTCAAACCTTCTGATATTTTAAGAATTTCACTAGAAAAAGAGTTGACTTTGTCATTTGAGCGTGTATGTAGTTACATGTTGCATCACTGTAATATATAGACGCTTATGTAGCGTGCAATCACAGTATGTGACTGTGTTTATACACACGTTGCTCAGCAGATTGCAGAGCACAGAAAACCAAGTCAACGGCAGAAAAGCAGCTAGAAAAGTCGAGTGTGTCTGGCTTAAAATGCCCAAAATGAACTGGCTGCCTTTTCTATCAGTCAAAGTAGCACACTTCAGATAGTTCCAGCCTTTCAAACTACCATCTGTTAAGACATAATCATAAGCCCACTGACAAGTGTTTGTCAGAAATCACCTCATGCTAATTGAGCTCTTTTCTGACACACTTCAGTAGCCAATTTTTAAGACCTGAGAGACATCATTACTGCACATTAGTTGGGAAGATAATGACACAGCTGTCCTTTGGAAAAAAGAACCTAAAGTACTTGCACTATTGCAAAATTATAGGAGAATAACTTTTAAACAGCCATGTTCAAAATTTTAACTGAATTGAAAGGAAGCATTGGTCAAAACAACATATCCCATCACCAACAGCTGCATTCTTTTGCATCATTAGTAAATTTAATTTTGTTCTGTATACAGTGAATGAAGAGGTGCAATGATCATGCAAAAAGACTAGTGGAAGCAATTTTCATTCTTTTTAAGTATGCCTTCTTTCAGACATAATTATGCCTAACAATTTGTTGTGTTCTGCACCTGCAGTAATCACGATTTAATCCTTATCTTCAATCACTGCATCTTTGCTATTCTTTCAGAGATGTGGTCTGCAGCTCTAGAGCGGCAGAAAGTTAAGGGGGCAATGATGACTATTCTTACTAATGCCAATAAAAATCTGACAGCAATTGGGCAAAATACAGCATTCACAATATTATACAATGTTAAATGCCTGATAAATACATCACAGTGTTAGTCATAAAGCTGAAGCCTGTTTACAATTTCTATTTTTGCCCTAAGTCTCTATTCCCCTCAACACTTAATATCAACTTCTGTTGGAAAATCTGCCTGCCTATTGTTTGTCTCCAGAGAAGGACGACATTTTGTTGTGGGCTGAGTTCCTGTTGTATTTCTGTTGTCAGCTGAGGAATTACCTTGTTTAGGGCTCAGTCTGTTTTTCTGGGGCTTTTCACCACTTTGAAACATCTGAAAAAGGACAGCTTCTTGGCTCTATTCAGACCTTCCTCCAGAAAGCTGAGTATCTGGAGAAGGAGTGTGCCCAATACTAGGGGAGCATGACCTATAGCATTTTGTTGTAGATGTCTTAGTCAAATAATCTGCATAGACTTGGATTTTACATTATTATGTTGATTCCTTCTGCAAGTTAATATTGAGATAGAATGTTCTCTGAGATGAAAACGTGGCTGAGAGGCACATGTGTCTTGATATGTGTGAAATAATGGAAAAAAAACAAAAAGAAAAACCCACGTAAATTAGATCAGTCCTCAGTTAGACTAAGTTCTACTCCTACTGAAGCACCTTGCCTGCTCTTCAGTGGAACTTGAAAACATGTTGAGGAGTGTGTGAGAACAGAAGTGCATTATCCTCTTCAGTGAGCAAAGAGGTTAAAATCTATTTTATCAGCTCCTTGATAAGGGCCCAGTTTGCAAGGTCAGTCAGCTAAAACTTGCATTTCTGAAAATGAAGGAGTTAGCAATAACAGGCATATTTGTGGTTAGTAAAATCTCAGCATTCAGCAGGCAAAGCATTAAGAATGTTGGAAGCTGTTAAGGTGAATTGCAAGAAAAGAAGAATCTAAATAAGTAATACTCTTATTGGGGTTTTAGAATATAAGGTAGCTGTTGGACCAATTGTGAGGCCAGCCAGTACCTTTCTGAAGAAGCCAATATTGAGAAGATTCTGAAAACTACTAGAGAAAACACTTAAAACATACTTAACACTTAAAACATACTCTGTTAATACAGAGAGAATCAGTGATACAAGCAGGTGATTTCCAGCTCTTACTGGCTCTGATTTTTCTGACTTCGGCAAGTCAGATATCCTGACATTAGTGATATGGCTCCATCTTGGATGAATGTAGACATTTGGCTGAGAAGTCATATGAGAAGCTCCAAAATAGTTAATAAAGAATAACTAGGTTTGACTTTTTGAGGGAATGCAACTATACAGGTTTTCAACAGTTTAATTGCCTTTGTGCTTAAATTAGATTTATTTAGGTTTACAGTGGTTTACGTTTATATAGGTAGAAAAAGACTGATGATCTGAAGACTGATGAAATACCTGTCAAAGAACATCAAGTATAGTTAATAACCCAACTTATTATCAGCAATTGACAATTATGTGGCACCAGTCATCCCCAGACACAGAAGTGGTTTGTAAATAAATTAATGAAACATGCAGTAAAACTATTATCTGCATTTTATAACAGGCAAATGGAGGCCTAGAGAGACTAAAATTATTGCCATGGCAACGAAGAAAATTTGTGTAAAGATGAGAAAAAGTACACATTTTTTAAACTGTCTTATGTAGCAGTTTTTAAAAGTTTTTTATTTCTTTTCTGCATATTTTTGTGCATATTTCTCATCACTACCACATCTCTTTTGGTTTGTCTCACCTGCTTATTCCACACATTTGATAGATATTTTCTGATTTGCAAGACCTATATTAAATAACATTTTCATTTCATTACACGTAATAAAATAATATGATCTTTGATTCTGTTTGTATTTTAAGCTTGCCTTATAATGAGACATGACAAAGAAGTTACTGTTTAAGACATCTAAAAGCAGAAATAGTCCATGCTCTCAACTGAGATATTTGTGTCCACAGAAGTAATATCAAAGGGTTTTATCTTCCAATGGTGACTTAGAATTAAGGTATTTTTCTTTGGGTAGGAACACTGCGTAAAACAATCTGCTGTTTTTCTTCAGGATATCAGCTTTGGAATACAATTTTCAGTTGGCATGCTCCAGTGAAATCAGTGGCACATAATGAAGTTCTGATCCATAGTAACCAAATATGTTTGTTATCCTACATATGTTTCTGTAGATTGGTGATTTTTCTTCATAAGCCTACACATAAAGGGAAGGGCTATCCTGACCCTGTGAAAAGCAGGTTATCTTTAATAACTGCCAGTCATCGGATTTGCACTGTGGAGAGCTGAAGCAACAGCTCAGCATAATTTTTCACAGCAAGAATTTTTCATTGCACGTCAGTCCTGCTCCACAAGGAGTTGTAGGCTGACTTACATATGCCAGCTTCAACAGACCTTCTTGCTGCTTCTCTTAGCCAGGGGTGTGGGTTCCCACCAGGCTTAGAGCCAACACAGTCTTACTGATGCTTATGTGTCACATACACTGCAGCTACTGTGATTTGACTGCTTGGGACGTGCGTATTGTCAGGACACGAAGACTGGCCAAATCCCACATGTGGGATCTGTTTTACCATTGTGTTCCTTCAGCCAAAGCTAGTGAAATATCAAAATAAAATTATCTTTTGGTACTAAGACACTAGTTTGTCTCTGCATTTCCTTAAATTTATGTAGCTGCACTTGCATTAATTTCTGTGAAGCAATTAACAGCCATTCGTGATTTACAAACTGTATTTGCCATGTTTCTGAATTAAGGTCTATTTCAGATTTCAGAAGCCAGAGTTTTGCATACTAGCACTATCCACTGTTTTAATATTTAAAAGGAAAGGCAGCTGAGCCAATATATTTGAGTCTTAAGATAAGGACGGGTTTTAGAAGCATCTGGGTGACTGAAGTGCACACATGTCATTAAGAGGAGCAGTAGCAATGAGATGTCATTCAAAAGTGTGTCATTCATTGAGCTCCAGCGTTCAGGACAAAAGCTTGTTCATATGCTCCTGTAGTCACAAAAGCATGTTGTGATTTTTTCTGAGACTCACTCCAGCTTTTCATGTATCTTCCAGGCTATTTTTGGCATTCTGCTTTTCCTCCCTTTTATTTGGCTTGTCTCCTTTTTTTATTTTTTATTTTTTTCCCCTCCTGGTCTGTTATTTCTGTCCTATCTTGCTGATAGTCTCTTTTCATTCTAAGTGTTGAAAAATAGTACAAGACAAGGAACAGCCCACCAGGGTAACTTACATCTAGGTGTCAAAAGAGTACTTGCTTCACCTTGGCAGAATATCTGTTCCCCAGTACTTTTCTTTCAAATATTCTCTTCCTTCCCATCCCTATTGTGAAAGTTCTTACTGCTGTTCCTCCATTATCTTTCCTCTCAGACTATTCTTTACTCCTTGTTTTCTCTCTTTTTTTTTTTTTTAACCATTACTCTGCTCCTCCTGACTCAGTGTACGTCCTGGATACAGTTTTGCTAGTATGTGTTGCCAAGATTGGATTTAAAGCCCTTATTCAGCCAGTGAAGTTACCTTCATATCAGAGACATTGTTATGTGTGAATTTAACAGATGTGTGTTGCCTACTGCAGACTCTCAATGCTATGGATTTACAGCAAAGAGTTTATGTGAATAACTGTGTCACTTTGCTCTTTGAAGATGGGGGATCCCATCATGTTCAATGATGCTGCAGGTTCAGCAGAGATAAATGCCTAATTTTTAATTACTTAAAACTTACCAATTTCCAGACATTTCATTTACAAACCCATTCAGTTTTGAAGGCTGACCTTACAAGCAAAACCAAAAACAAAAACAAGCTTTGGAGGGAGATTTAGAAGTTTTAATGTAATTTTGTAACTGATTATAGTAGATGAAAACTACATGAGTATGGTTAAAGATGCATGCCCAGTATAATGCTTAAATTCTGACAGCATTACTGCAGAGAATTACTGAGGACTAAGAAATTCTTTCTTCTGGCGTTCTGGTGAGCAGAGGTAGATTTCAGTGGATCTATGGCAACTCAGACTTGTGTAACGTCAGGATGAACAGAGCTGTCAGTTTCCCCTGAATGTGTAGCCTGCTGTAGGCATTGCACTGCTACTGCAAAAGCCATTAACGTTTGGAAAGTAAACATGAAGAAACTGTAATCTTGTAGCTGTCTGATCATGTTTTTAGAAACCTAAGGCAGCCCCCTCGTGGCCGTTTATGTTTTGAAGAAATTGCTTCAAAAATAATTAAAAAATAGCCATTGTTTGGAGGAGAAATGAATGCTTCCCAATTTTAAAAGTCTACTGTGCACTGTTACACTTCTTAAAGGTGTTGGTAACACCAACTATATGCGGTGCTAATGCAGGTCAAAACCAATTTGTGTGGAATTGATCTGAAATCGGCCTGCAGTGGCAATCCTGCACACCTGGCCTGGGCACTGGCAGACTCAGAGTGAGCCTGTGCTGTCCCAAATCTGCGTGCTTGTTGTCTTCTGCCGCGGGACACTGATCCTCTGCCTCTTTGGAACAGCATTACACAGAGCGCTGCATGTTCTTACTGCAGTATTTTGAATTTTTTTTTCTTTAGTTCCTGCCTGTCTCCAGACCCTGTAATGACCTGCAGTCACCTCGTCTTTGCTCAGTATCTACTCGGTTAAATATTAATGCCTTCCAACTGCTTCACTCAACCTTACTTTACATCGTTTTGGCTTTAATCCTTACTGGCACGTGTGGTAACAGAGCTCAAAATACAAACAATGACTTGAGCTGCATCATGGGACAGACTGTGGAGAGATGTCAAGTCAGAAAGGAGTGATGCTAACGCTCACGGAAAGTCAAAGCACTGAGAAATTCAGGGGGGAAAAACCTGTGCTTTGAATTTTAATTAGGTGCCTTTTGTGTGTCAGTGGGTCAGAGCTGGAAGCTTAGCGCAGCTTCCTGGAGTTCTGTGAAGAAGTGGTTCCGCGAGTAGGCGGGTTTTTTAAATACAGTTTTAATTTCTTTGGGGGTGAAGGGAGGTGCGGGACTGTTGATTCTTTTTTTTATCTTTCTGCGGCCACGCTTGGCTGATCCTTTTCTGAGTGCGATGTGGAAACACTCCTTGTAGGGGCAGAAACCCCGCTGGAGGCAGAGCTCTGCTTTGAAGAGGCGCTGCCCGTGCTCGCCTGCACTTCTATGGTCGTGCAAACAGACCCGGCCCGCTCACCGGTTTGGTTCTGACTGACGGGAGGAAGTTTTTAAGCGTTCTTTTCCGTTCCCGACCTCTCCGGCTGCCGCCTCGCTCCCGAGGCAGCCCGGCCTCCTGCAGGGGAACGGGAGCGCCCGGCTCCGGGTCACCCCGCCGCGGTGACGAGCAACGGCCCGGCCCGGCCCC